GTACAGGGGAAATTTAGGAAGGCAAAATGGAATCAACCTAAGTGTGTATTTGACCAGGATAGCAAAGGGTATTTAATGACCACAAAGGGTAAAGGTATCTGTTATTAAGCTAAAACAGATATTTCCAGCTGCGTAGTAATCTCTGGCCCCATAGTGAGGCACTGGGATAAGCACCGACTCTTGGAGGAGCATACACCCTTCTGATTCACCCACAGCAATCACTGCAAAATGGTCTATCAAAGCTCTGACCACACCAACCCTGCTTCGCTTATGAAAATAGGGCTTACAGAGGAGTTATCTGTCTCCATACACACTGCATGCGCCTTCTGACACGCTCATGTCCACCAACACACTGTGCCAAGAGCAAAACAAACTATTTTTATCTTAGAGGAAGGAAAACAAATGAAAGAAACAAAGTAAAGTCTTCTGGAGAAAATGCAGTGTCTCCCCGCTGCACCAGGTGCAGCAATCTATGCTCCGACACTCAGTTTCAATAAAGTCTCTTTATACCACTCTGTCCCTGAGAATGCCCTTGTGCAGTGAGCTGTGGATGTGGTTTTTCACAAAGGCTGATCTAATATTTCCAAACCCAGGAGTTAAAAAACCCTGGAATCAGCCTCCAAAAAATCATGAGATTATTTTAAATTATCTCATTATTTTAAAGTCAAATAAATTGTGGATGCTTTTTAGAGTCACAGAATGTCAGGGTTGAAAAGAACCTCAAGAGGTCATCTAGTCCAACCCCCTGGTCAAAGCAGGACCAATCCCCCGACAGATTTTTGCCCAAGATTCTCTAAATGGCCTCCCTCAAGGATTGAGCTCACAACCCTGGATTTAGCAGGCCAATGCTCAAACCATTGAGCTATCCCTCCCCCAAATCACTGAGTTTAAGTTCAGAATGGACTACTAGATCATCTTGCCTGACAGAATGTACAGTGCAAGCCACCTGGTTTCTGAGTCTTTAGGTTATACTTAAGTCACATTTTCCAGCTTTTCGCTGTAACCATGGGGACTATACATATGTATACAAAAATAAAATTAAATGAAAGCTGGGTTTCTCTGATCAATTGCCTTAAGGAGCTGGAGCTTTAAGAAAAACACCAAATATCACAATTTTGTAATAAAATTGTAAGTCGGTAACACCACCAACCCTCGACCACTGAAGGGTGTGTATGAATCATCCTGTGTCTAAAAGGAAACTTAATGAACTTCAACCTCAGCACCCCATTTGAGTCAATTACATTATCAACATTTTTTGTAACTCAAAGGCCTAAACACCTGTATTTGACATGCAAGCTGAGATTCCCATTTTCATTTCTAGTTCTCTAAATCAGGGGCTCTCAACTTTTCCGGACTACTGTACTCTTTCAGGAGTCTGATTTGTCTTACATACCCCCAAGTTTCACCACACTTAAAAAAACTCCTTGCTTACAAAATCAGACATAAACATACAAAAGTGTCACAGCACACTAGTACTGGAAAATTGGTGACTCATTTCTACCATACAATTATAAAATAAATCAACTGGAATATAAATATTATACTTACAGTTCAGTCTATAGAACAGTATAAACAAGTCATTGTATGAAAATTTAGTTTGTACTGACTTGGCTAGTGCTTTTTATGTAGCTTGTTGTAAAACTAGGCAAATATCTAGGTGAGTTGATATACCCCATTGAGAACCACTGCCCTAAATCACCAGAGAGAAGCACACAATATTTATAGGCCCAAAGGGCAGGTTCTGGTCACATACTCAAAGGGTTGTTTGTGTCTGTTGCCCCAAAACTCGCTTCCTGTCTCCTTACCTTTCTTCGAGCAGAGCTGGAAGCAGGTGAATGCCCTTGTCCTGATGACCACATCCACTGTGGAGACTTCAATTAAGCAATCAAAACTGACGGCAGAGCAGAAACAAAGTGGATGTAGAAAGGCAGATAGGAAATTAGCCCCTGCACCTCTTATCCAATGTAGGACAAGAAGGTAGTGACTGCTGGGTCACTGAGTCCAGTCCTCTGCTGTTACAGGCAAATCTGTCATATAATCCCATTCCTAAATTTATCAAGATCCATTTTAAAACCAGTTAGGTTTCTTTCCCCCTTTCCTCCTATTGGGAGGCTTTTCCAGAACCTCACTCCTCTGGTGGTTAGAAACCTTCTTCTGATTTCCAGCCTGAATGTATTCACGGGCAGTTTATACCCACTTGTTCTTGTGCCAGCATTGTCTGTTTGGCTTATATAGCTCTTCTCCCTCCCTTTACACCCCTGATATGTATTTACAGAGAGAAATCCTATCTCCTCTAGCCTAACAAAATGAAGTCTGAAACAAGCCAAGATCTTCCAGTCTTCTCTCATAAGATTAGGTGCTTCATTTCCCTGATCATCCTGGTAGCTCTTTGCTGCACCTGTTTCAGAGCGAATTAGTCTTTAGTGAATACCAGTGACCAGAACTGCACACAGTATTCCATCAGAGGCACTACTCCCGCCCTAACTCTCTGCATGTGGCTGCTTTACACTCTCTTCTGTTTTTCTCTCCCTCTCTCCTTCATTTCCCTTTCTTATTCTATCTTCTTCCTGATCCCCTGCTGTGTTGGCCCCGGCAAATGGACTTTGCTGTCTGCAGGTGGTATGCCTGCTGAGCCACGCTTCTATGAAAGCAGAAGTGAAAGCAGTTGTGAAATATAAGTAACTCCCTTGGTTATGATCACAGCAGCAGATTCCCTGAAACATGGGGACTCTGGAAACATGCCATCTGAAGAAGTGGGTTTTTTACCCATGAAAGCTTATGCCCAAATAAATTGGTTAGTCTTTAAGGTGCCACCAGACTCCTCGTTGTTTTTGTGGATACAGACTAACATGGCTACCCCCTGATACTGGAAACATATGGACACTTTCACTTTTGACCCATTGCTATTACTGCTGCTTCTCCTCCTCACTCACCCCCTCTTCCCAGTCATTCATGATCAATGGGGGAGGGGGGGAGTTACCTGTCCATGGATTTTCCCAGCTGCTGTAGATGAGAGTGACAAATGGGGAGGAAATGAGATGGAGGAGAAATTAATCATTAGCCAGCAATTGTTGCACACATGGGCCCAGAGACTCCTATCAGTGCATTGGGCTCCCAGTAATCATAGCACTAAAGAATGAGACCCCTGGAGAGCAAAGCCAGCTGTGTATCCCTGGAATGGAACTGCTGCAGAGGGAGAAGGGCCAGAGGGAGCGATGTAGATAGTGCAAGGATCGGGACTGAGGAGGAGGAAAGAACAACTAGCATCCGTCCCATTGACCCCACAGCATGGGTCTGTTGTCACTAATTGCACACTAAACTGGCACTAGGCTGAATCAGTTGCAGGATGTGAGACTCTGTGCAATGCTTGGAGGGTGGAAATTCAGGGGTAGCAGGAAGCCTGAGAACGGGGGATGCAAGGGAGAGTAGGAGAGGTTTCTGCCTCTTTCCATAGCCTCTGTATCTCTGGTGCCGTTTAGCACTGTGATCTCATTTTCTGTAGTATCTGTGCCCTTCACCTTGGGGAGGCTGTTGGGACCAGGGAGACACTCCCCTCTGCCATACTCTGAGCCCTATGCTCTCTCCCCAACGAGTCTGTCACTGCCACCTGCCTTAGTGAGAGCACCCCCTTCTGGGGCTGTGAAGCTATTCCCAGCCCCTGTGGGCTCATCACTGCCTGGACCCTTTCTCTGCTGCGCTTGTCCAGCTCCTCTGCCTGTTGGATGTTCCTCCTTGTGTTTGTTTTTCTCATTCTGTATGGCCCTTGTTTGGCTGTCACTGCCTCCTGATTCAGTGGGTGACACTCTGGGGATATATGTCTCTGCTGCTCATAAATCCTGCGAGGATACAATGACAGCCCAGCCACTGATCTCATCCAGATTCATTTTAGTGCTTGCTTTTTTGAGCCAAACCCCCTTTCCTGCTTCCTTGTTGCTGGGATCTTTGTTCTTACTACTTTTAGTGTCTTTTGAATTACCATTGAGAATCCAGCCCCACTAAAGGCTTGGAGGGGGAGAGAGAGAGAGCACGCACGATACTGGGGAGGAGTCTGCACTTCACCCCTTACAGGGCAGTGAGAGTCTTTAACCCCTATGTGGGAACAACCTCCCCCCCACACACACAGTTGTCTCAGCTGAGCATAGCAGCCCATGCCCCACCATGTGCATTCCAGGTAGTGGGATCTTTGTGGGTCCCTAATTTTGGCCCATAGTTCTCTGCTGTCCCTGTTGGAAAGTTTTACCTACCTCTCTGATTTTCTGACACTTCAGCCCATGAACTGCCATTCTTGTGCTGTCCCAGGCAAGGTCAGGAAGCTGTATCATGGACCCTCAGCTCACCAGGAAAAGCAGCATAACCACCTGCATTTCCTCACCTCCCCGCCCCCTGTCTGAGTTGGCAGCAGGTAAGACCAGCTTACTGGGGGCGTGCTGGAGGTTACACCCTGGAGCTGCAGATCCCAACATGTCTTTGGCCTGGGAGTTCAGTCTCGGAACAGATGAAACCAAGATTGGGAGGAGGGAAGAAGAAACAGAGAGACGGAGACATGAGAGTTGGGGGGCAGGGGGCTGCAAGAGGGACCCATAGTACAGAGCACTATCCAGCCCTGTTTGTATGGCGGGCAATTTCAGTAAAGCCTGTGACTAAAAGACTCTCTCATATGTGTGACATGAGACCTCAGCCAGAGTCAGAGGTATAGCCAGTTGTAACTAACTACATGAGGAATTAAACCTTCCTTAGCCTACAGGAGGGTGGGCGTTTCCCAGTCCTGTTTAGGGGAAAAAACTTTCTCTCAGGATGTTCCTGCTCCCAGCACACAAGGGTTAAATTTGCCTAATCCCTCAGTGATTCCACAATGCAGGATTTTTTTTGGAGGGGGGCATATTTACCAACCTAGACCATGTCAGTTTGCACAAATAGCCCACTCAGGGAGAGGTATTACCCCCCCCCCCCATTTCCACGGCTGTCCCTTCACCTCAGGCTGCTGGGGGTGGGGGAGAGCTGCCAGGGAAAGAGTTAAGAGAGCCAGAAGCAGCAGCCTGAGCTGTGTCTGTTTGCTGTAGCCATGAGGGTTGCAGGACAGAAAAGAGGAATCTCTAGCCCGGAGGAGCCAGACGAGAGAACGTCACCAAGAAAGACAGCTGGTAGGTGAAGGAGGCCCAGACCAGCACCAAGTCTCCTTGTGCACCACTCTTGGAAACCAGCACTGGGACTCACCCTCGCTTCCCAAAGGGACTGGTGGTAGAAAAAGATGCCAGAGAACTGAATCACCATGCAACAGCGGACTGGTGCTACTGGGACCTCACTGCATAGAGGAGCCTATTAGTTACCAATAGGATCTCACTCTGTTCCCCTGCTGGCTTGTGGGCAGCGTGATTTGCAGCGGGGAGAGAGCAAGAGTATAAAGCATTCATCCGAGGAGTGGACTTGAAGAATCTGCATGTGGAATTGTGGGTACAGGGGCTGCTTGCTGTTCATGCTGAACTCCACCATGTGAACTACCTTTTTGGGAGAGCTGTTGTGGAGCCCCTGTCCCATGCTCCTGACCCTCCAGTGATGTCTCGCAATCCCTAGAGGACAGTGGCGCTGTAGATGCCCCTACAGTGCTAACCTGGGAGATTTCTTTGTCCCCCGGGGTTCCCGTGCTGACAGCACCCAGAGACAGCTCATGGTTGTTGTGGAGGGTGGGGGTACTTGCTCTCCGCAGTGCTGGACTGGGACTGCCCTGGGAGTGACTCTCTGGCACCAGGCGCTGGGGAAGAGAGAAAGGCATTTGTGCAGCTAAGGCAGAGGGGCTGTAGTTAAGATTTCTCCAGCGAGAAGATGGAAATTGTCCAGCTGTATGTTGTGCTGATTTCAGTGCGGCACATCCGTGCTGTGACCTGGCTGTAAGTATGGTGTGGGCTGGAGCTTGCCTGACCTAACTGTCCCCTAGGGAGGTTGAGGGACCCTAATCCCCACAAAAGAGACGATAGGCAGATCTCACAGGAAAAGGGAGGTGTAGGAGACCTCAGCACCCTAAAGAGAGGCTGGGGGATCCCCTGGGGTGGGTGGAAGTCTGATCACACGGGGAGAGGGAGTCTGAGAGTATCCCTATGGGTTCTTCTAAGAGGCTATGAAGGGGGATTTTTCCCTTTGAGCTATTAGCGTGTCCATAGCCCATCTCTGAGCATGGCTAACTCTCTCTATCCCTCTGCGCAGGTACCTGGCAAAGCAGCCCTCCCTGCGAGGGACTCTGCGAGATTCCAGTGCCTGTGAGGGCTTGAAGGGCCTGGCGGAGGAGCAGGTGCGAATCTGCCAGCGGCAAGTGGAAGCCATGGACTCAGTGAAGCATGGAGCAGAGCTGGCCATAGAGGAGTGTCAGCACCAGTTTCACAACCGTCGATGGAATTGCTCCACTCTTCAGGGGCTACAGGTCTTTGGCAAGGTTGCAATACAAGGTCAGAGGTCAAGAGTTAGGCAGATCTAGGCAGTGCATGGAACATTTGCAATCAGTGCCCAACTACTTGGCTCATGTCCCAACCCCATCCTAATGCTCACACTAAACCTAACTTTTAAACCTTCATCCTAGCCCCAAACAAAACCTTACCACGCTTATCTTAATTCTAATAGTAAGTAGAATACTAGACTATATACACATGCTATAACTAACACTAGTACTCCAGCTAAACCACTCCCTAAGTCTACCCCTAATGTTCACCCTGACTCTAGTGGTCAATTAGACACTGATCCTAATGCTCACCTAGACTATTCATCCTAATGGTCATGCATACTATTAAATCTAATGCTCACCAAACCCGAAGGGAGCGTGCTTGTGTTTGGAAAGTAGATTCAAGTCAACTGAAAGATACAGTGAGTTTGTATTGATTTTGGTGAATTGTTTCAGTTGAAACAAAAAAGGAAAACAAAATGTTTCAATATTTTGGGCTAGCTTTACAAGGGGATTTAGGCACCATTCACAAAACAGGAAGAGGACATGTTCCCCCTCCCCCGCAACCTTTTCACCCAATGGTTAGAGTTGTCACCTGGAATGTGGAAGACCCAGGTTCAAAATCCTGCTCAGGAGCAGGGACTTGACCCCAGCTGTCCTTCTTACCACAAAAGTATCCTGACCACCAGGGTATTCTGATGTGGGGCTTGCTCAATCTTTCCTGTTGAAGGTGTTATACTGTGGATAATTATAATAATTATTAAAATATAAATTATATAATTGCAAATAAAAAAATCATTAGCACAGGGACTGGAAGCCAGGTGTCCTACTTCTCAGGTGGGGGGCCTAACCACTGGGCTATAGAGTCATTCTCACTGTGGCCCAATGACTATTTAAGTATTTTATACACAGTGGAACAGTTTTAGTAGGAGATCTCAAGACAGCTCTACCCCAGAATAGCTTGAGCATGCACCTGGGAGCCTTCCCTTCTCTCCCTCACAGATAAGTGCCCCAACTGCTGAGCTAAATGTTATCATGAGGGGCATCACCTACTCCTTCTGTTTGTGAATAAAGCCCTTCATTTTCTTTGCTTTTTAAAAAACATTTACAATTTCCAAAAATGAAACAAAATGTTTTGTTTAACCCAAAATGATTTTTCCCTAATTTGATTCTCCAAAAATATGTTACTGTTTCAGTTTGAGCTAACCCCCCCCCTGCTTTTTTTTTGAAGAACTGCCAGCAAACCAAAAAATTAGTTATTTGCCTTGCTTTAGTCCTGAGAAATGAGGCTCCAGGCCATTCACTTGGAGGGTGACTCTCCAGGCTCACTGATCCCATTAGGGCTGCAGGATGGTTCCTGTGCTCAGACTCACTGCATGCTCTCTGGTTCTCCCCCTAAAAAAATTCCCTCTGAGACTTGCATCCCCTTCCCTCCCTGTTGGGGACATGAGACCTCTGGGACTGAGGAGCCCAGAGCCGCGGTGCATGCCATGTGGGATCTCCCTGGTGCCCTACCACGAGGGGCTATCCTCTTCCTGCTGTGGGATCCAAGATCTCTGAGGATGTAGCAAAACTCCCTTTAATGATTTACCAGTGTGATCTCTGTTTGAACATCTCCTTTCTGGGAGTGACACAGCATTATCACATAGCCCCTGCGTGTCTCAGGCTGCCTCCGTGTGTCTAATGCAGATGAAACTGCAACGTTTCCTCTCTCCACAAATGAACTGAAGGAGAAATTCCTTAGACAAATCTTGAAGAAATTGTTCCTTCCAAAGGCTGCTTCTGCCTCTTCTGCAGGTACACGAGAATCTGCTTTCATTCATGCCATCTCATCAGCGGGAGTGGCGTTCGCTGTGACCCGGGCCTGCAGCCGTGGGGAGCTGGAGAAGTGTGGATGTGATCGCAAGATCCGTGGAGTCAGCCCAGAAGGTAACAGAAGGTGGTTGGTGCTGGAGAAAGAAGCCCCCCATTGACATGGGAAGAATTGGAAGGATGAACAGGAGCAGACAACAAAGCTTGCTACATATCCCTGGGAAGGGGACGGTGCAGAGGAGAGTGGAAAAATAAATGGGGATGGAGAGTGCCGCCACTGCATGCCCTTGGGATGAGAACAGTATAGGGAGGGTGTGGCCAGGGAGATATGAACTGTTTGGAAAGCCTGAACACCTCTACATCTGCCTCCACACCTGGAGCAGCCTCTCTGCCTCATGGACTCTCTCTCTCTTCCCCAGGATTCCAGTGGTCAGGCTGCTCTGACAACCTGTCCTATGGTATTGCCTTTTCTCAAGCCTTCGTGGATAACCCTGAGCGGAGCCGTGGTGTCTCGTCCAGCCGAGCACTCATGAACCTGCACAACAATGAGGCTGGTAGGAAGGTAAGGTTGGTACCATGTGCTGGGGAACATACCCAGATGTCTGAGCGCCTCGTTGGGGGCCAGAGACTGTCCCATCCCCCACTCCTTTTGTCCAGATTAGAGTGGCACCAACAAACTGATTACCTCTGAGGAGAGCCCTTCCCTTCTGATTGGATCCAATTCCCTGCCTTTCCTTCAGAGTCTATCATTGCTCTGCCCCAGAGCAGAGCCTGTTCCTTATATGCCTTGAAGTGGATCCCAATTCCTCAGCTACACCTCCCTCAGAGCAGCTTTCTTTCCCTCCTACAGTCTAGAAGTGGATTCCCCTTCCTCTGCCTCTTTCTTAAAGTGAATCCATTTCCCTCACTCTGCCTTCAGGCAATTCCCCATCCCTTCACCTCTTTTGAATGAATGGATCACTTTCCCCAGCCACTGCCTCCTGAGTAGGTCCCTGGCCCTCCCTCTGACTCACAGTGGATCTTGTTCCTTTCCTTTGTGGCAGAGTAGATCCCTTCTTCTACAACCTCAGAGTGGATCCCTTTCTCATTTTTTAGAAGGCCTGATCATATCCCTCTGTAAAGGGATCGCTGTAGTTCTGGGCAGGTCCTTTCCGCCCATAGTGGATCCCTTCAGCTGATAAGTGGATCAGTTACTTGTATTTCATATTCCTGTGAGCAGCCTCCATTCATTCTCTGTTCCCTGTCACACACCTTAGAGTGACCCCTTTTCCCCAGGCCTCCCTTTCCCTGACACTCTGTGTCACACTCCCCACGTTCAGCACCCCCTGGGTGGTAAGGAGAAGTTCCACTGTAAGCTTAAATCCACTTCTCACTGGCACCCTCAGGTGGGCTGCATGAGGCCCTCCACCTCCTGCTGACAGACGCTTTCTACTTGCCAGGCCATCCTGTCCCACATGAAGGTAGAGTGCAAGTGTCATGGAGTGTCAGGTTCCTGCGAGGTCCGCACCTGCTGGAAGGTGATGCCCCCATTCCGCAAGGTGGGCAATGTCCTGAAAGAGAAATTTGAGGGGGCCACAGAGGTGCACCCCAAGCGGGTTGGTTCCCGAAAGCTCCTGGTGCCCAAGAGCTCCCGCTTCAAACCCTACACAGCTCATGACCTGGTCTACTTGGTGGCCAGCCCAGACTTCTGTGACCGGGATCCCCACAGTGGGGTCTTTGGCACCTCCGGACGCCAGTGCAACCGGACGTCCCATGCCATGGATGGCTGCGAGCTCCTGTGCTGTGGGCGAGGCTTCCGCACGGCCCAGGCCGAGGTGGTGGAGAGATGCAGCTGCAAGTTCCACTGGTGCTGTTCAGTCAAGTGCAAGCAGTGCCGCCACCTCGTGGAGGTGCACACCTGCCGGTGAGGGGGAGCTGAGCTAGGGGGAGGGAGCAAGTGGTGGGCAAGAGTGCCAGCACCAAGAGGCGGGGAACCTTGGGGAAGACATGGGGAGGGGATGACTCAGAGAGAGGGACTGAGAGTTCCAGAGAGGAATATACAAAGTTGGGGGGGGGGGAGGGACGGAGACCCTTTACCACCCCAATGAAGAAGGAGCTGATTGCTCCAGAGGGGGCATCTCTGGGGGGGCTGCATAGAGGTTGCTCCCCAGTTACAGAGGGGTTTGTCTGGGATGTGGCTCAAGGGTATTTGGGTTTACTCACTTGTGATGGCATTCTCTGAATTTTTTGGGAGGGGACATGGGGTTGAACACACCGAGTCAAATAAACCCTTAAAATATTAGGAATAAAATTATTGTATTAGCAAAAGATGCGAGCGTGAACTACTGTATGTGTAAAAAGCAACAGAGGGTCCTGTGGCACCTTTGAGACTAACAATACTGTATGTGTGAAACCCTGGGTGGGCACTTCCGTGCATGCACTGGGGTGGGGGAGACTGTGCTCGGAGTCCATTCTGAAGGCTCAAGACTCCAGTGCCCTTTGCATGCAGTTAAATGAGGGGCACTGGTGAATGTGTGAATGCGCAAGGAGAACCCAGTGAGAGTGCAAGAGACACTGCTGACGAAGCTAGTGTGGATGAAAGAGTATTAGGGAGAGGATCCACGTGGTTCCAAAAGAACAGCAGATAAAAGAACAGAGAAAGTGAAGCACGTTGGCTGAACAGGCTCTTTATAAACCAAAACATAATATATAGGAAACAACCCACTAGTTGTGTCCATGGCAGGAGGCCTGAGGGTAAGAGACATTGTGGGCTTTGGGCAAGGGCCATCAGGCAGGAACCTGGAAACTGGCAGAGACTCCAAGTGAATCACCCCAGGGCTGATGCCGCTCCTGTTGCTGGAGTCCCTTTTCCCAGCTGCTGACCCTTAGAGGCACCCGGGGGACAGCTGAAACTGTACAGTGCCCGGGTTGGTGTCAAATGAAATGCCAAGGTCAGGGATTCCCCAGTGAATTCTGGGGTGCTGTCATTCACACTACTGTATGGAGCAGAGAGGAGGCTGTGGCACTTGGATGAAAGCAGGGGTGGGCACCAGACGTTATCCCTGGGAACAGAGAGACAGACAGAGGTTGGGAAAAGTTGCTTCAGGTCCTATCAAGTTTCTCCTCATCTCTCTGCCTCCACAGGGTCCATTCAGTGCCCTATGCCCCCTTTTTCCTTCATCCCTGGGGTCTCCCTCTGTCCTCTCTCCTCCACTCATCCCTCAGTCAAGCTGAAGAATTTCTGGCTCCAGAGCAGCACCTCCTCCTCGCCTTTCTCTTCACTCAGCACTTGGTATGTCTCGTTCCTTCGGCAACCATGACGAAGCACCTGAGCAGATAGACAGAGAGATAGACAACCCACCCTAGAGTCAAGGGACCCAAACACCAGTCAAGGGAGTCCTGGGAGTGAAAGGAGCTGTCTCCCCATAACATGAGCCCTGCAAGTATGAGAGCCTGTCTCTTGACCAATGGAGGGTCGGGAAGAGAAGGCCCTGTCCCTAGGTCACCCAGGGTGGAGACTCTGGGTGAGGAGAACCAGTCAAGGTGGCAGAGGGGCAATCCCTGATGGAAAATGTGGCTGGGCTGCACTAGGTTGGCGACCTAGGATTTATTTATTTTTCTCTCATTTTGTTCTCCATAATTTCAGATTTAATTAAAAATAACTTTTTGAAGGTTAAGGGCTTGAGATATACATGAGGTTAGACTAGATGATGTCATGGTCCCTTCTGCCTTAAACTCTACAAATCTATGACATAAGTTTCTAGCCCTGATGGTTGTGAAGAAAACCTTCAAAATATGAACTCATGACATCTGCCTGAATCTGCAGACAGCTTGAAACAAGGGTTCTGAGAAGCTTAACTCTGCCACGTTTATTTCAGTGGGTGCTAACTCACATGTCCAATTATGCTGATTTAAAATGTCAGCACTGTTATCTGAGAGACACGGTGGGTGAGGTATATCTGTTAGCAATGTCGGTCCCAGGATATTAGAGCGACAAGGTATCTGTTTTACATCTAATTACAGCTGTGAATAAGAAGGAAGGAGGAGGATCAATTTATGGAATTTTGCATAATCTACTGTGAGTGACCTTTGAGTTTGTGCTCCTAGTGCATGGTGCCTGGAAGATACACAACTTTTCTGCCCCCAGTCTGTGAAGCCAAAGGTCTTAGAGGAGGAGTGGAGCCTGAGGGGGGGGGAGAGGTCTAGTTGACTCTGGTGGTGGGTATGGGGTGTGATAAATAAAGTAGTGGGATAGCTTCCTTTGATGGACACCCAGCCAGCCGGTTAGCTGTAAAATCCCTCTTGGTAGCTGTTCTTTACTTGCTTTACCTCTAAAAGGTTAAAAAGTCCCCCAGGTAAAGAGGAAAAAAAGTGGGCACCTGACCAAAAGAGCCAATGAGAAGGCTAGAACTTTTTAAAATGGGGAAAGAAATTTTCCCTTTGTCTGTTGTTCTCTGGGCTGCAGGGACAGAACAAGGAGCAATGGTCTCAAGTTGCAGTGGGGGAGGTCTAGGTTGAATATTAGGAAACACTTTCACTAGGAGGGTGGTGAAGCACTGGAATGGGTTACCTAGGGAGGTGGTTGAATCTCCTTCCTTAGAGGTTTTTAAGGCCTGGCTTGACAAAGCCCTGGCTGGAATGATTTAGTTGGTGGTAGTCCTGCTTTGAGCAGGGGGTTGGACTAGATGACCTCCTGAGATCTCTTCCAACCCTAATATTCTATGATTCTATGACAGAGCAGCAATGCTGTAAGCAAGAATGCTGTGTAAGGTTTGAACCAGGTATGAAAAATTATCTTCCATACCTAGAAGGAATCTGTTGGATAGGGTATGTTTAGAAAAATGCAATCAGGTTTATTCTTTATTTTGGATTGTGGATCTCCTCTGTGCTAACCCCAGATGCTTTTGTTTGCTTGTAACCTTTAAGCTGAACCCCCAATAAAGCTATTTTGGGTGCTTGATTTTTGGAATTGCTCTTTTAAAATCTAGCAAAACCCCAAGTTCCAGATGTATTTTCTTTCTTTTTGTTTTTAATAAAAAATTACCTTTTTAAAGAACAGGATTGGACCTCCTAAGAGGTTTGTGCACATGTTGTTTTATTAGCTCGTAGCCACAGCTAATTTCCTTTGTTTTCTTTCTCAGTTCTTCCCCCAGGGGTGTGTGTGTGAAACGGCTTAATGGTACCCCACAGGGAGGAATTCCCAAGTGCTCCTTCCTGCGTTCAAAGGGGTTTTTTTGCATTTGGGTGGTGGCAACATTTACCAAGCCAAGGTCAAAGAAAAGCTGTAACCTTGGGAATTTAATACAAGCCTGGAGCGGCCAGTATTAATTTTTAAAATCCTTGCAGGCCCCTACCTTCTGCACTCAGAGTGACAGAGTGGAGATTCAGCCTTGACATGGGGTCAGGTGGATTTCTCTTTGACCTTAGTGGTTGGTGCACTTTCCTCTGCTGCTTTCTCCCCACTGGCACCATTGCATCGATTACATTCAGATTTTTCTTCAAAATCATAAAGACTAGAAAAACTTTTTGATGGACATTTAAATTTAAATTTTATCACATGAGTCCAAGGCACATGGTATGTGTCTGGTTCTAGGTATAACCAAATCCCACTGAGGAGTCAAGCCCGAAGAGTCTAGCAGAGGATGTCTGATCATGTTTTGAACATCTGCACCGTCTACTACAAGTGGCATCTCTTTTTGGAAACCCAAGTGGGTGAAGCTTGATTTGTGGGTGGAGCTTAGGAGAGTACCACCACACACACTCCACCCCAATTCAAGTCCTGCAGGAGGAGAAAATCCTGGGGCAGGACAGAGCCCAGAGATGGGAAACTGGAGTTGGGAGGGCTGCCATTCTGGACTGTGAATGGTCAGTGTGGAGCTGGGTAGATCCCTGGGGAGTGGGGCTGCTCCTCACCTTCTGGCTGCTGAGGCTGCGCTGTAGGCACTGGTGACTCTTGAATGCACAGTAATTAGGGTGCTGAACTCTATCTGAGTCACAGATCTGGGGAGAGAGCAGTGAAATGTTAGAGAGAAAATAGAGGCGAGGAGGAGGGATGAGGGGACAGTGGGGTTCGGCACTTACTTTGTTTGGGAAGTCTCCTCCTTGGAAGAAAGCATATTCCACTTGCAGCCAAAGGATCACGCGGGGGTCATCACAGCCGTGCGTGGCCAGGCGGCCACACCAATAATCTGCACGCAGCCCTCCATACACCTCCATCCCATAATACCCCATTGCCTCCAGGGAACCAACCTGCAAACAGAGGGGAGGATTAGAGACAGGCAAGCGTCCCTACTGCAATGCCCCGGTTATGCCTAATCCAGGACCTGCCTCAGAGCCTTGGGTACAAGCGGAGCTGGGTCTGTACCTTATTGCCCACAGCCTGATACTGGACAGAGATCTCAGGGTTGATGTAGGTAGTGAAGGTGCCAACATTGCAGTGAACACGTCTCAGATCTGACACCCCATGGCACTGCTCCCTCTTCAGTGAGCAGAAGGCACAGTCAGGGCATAGATCCATGTGGTGTCTTCCAAGACTATCGCACACCTAGAGAGGAAGAAAATGGCAAGGTGAAGGGGCTGTTGTGGACTGAGTTGAGCAGGGAGGGAGGGCATGGGGAGACTGAGAGCTGGTCTCAAAGGCCTCCCATGCTCTTGGACCAGACTCTGTGTGTAGGTCCCATCCAATTTATAATCTAGCCACTCCAGCCCCAGCCTCTTCCAACAGGAGGGACTGTAGAGAGCAGAGCCAGAGCACTGGCTATTTGGGGAGTTCTCATATACTCCTGTACCAGACGCTACAGTCAGGAAGAACTGCTAAGAGGGATTAGGGAGTGTTGCCACAGAGGCTAAATAAAGGTTTCAGAGTAGCAGCCGTGTTAGTCTGTATCCGCAAAAAGAAGAACAGGAGGACTTGTGGCACCTTAGAGACTAACAAATTTATTAGAGCATAAGCTTTCGTGGACTACAGCCCACTTCCTCGGATGCATATAGAATGGAACATATATTGAGGAGATATATATGCACCCATACAGAGCGCATAAACAGGTGGGAGTTGTCTTACCACCTCTGAGAGGCCAATTAATTAAGAGAAAAAAGACTAGTGAAGTGAGAAGCATCCTGCCCCAGTGTAGGGAGACAGTTAGAAACCGAATATGGG